TCCGGAGTGATATTATTGATGGTCGATAAATTTACTTAGTGTTTGAACGACCTTCACTGGCCAGACTGAACAGACGTTGAACACATCACTCACTGCCAGTGATTCAAACATTTTTAATCGCTTTATTGATATTATCCCTAATACTAATTAAAACGATAGTAGTCAGTTTCAAAATCATAAGTTGTGCACACAGCATGATGGCTAACGTCGAAAAGACAAGCCCTACATCAACAGTAAGACGACTAATGTCCACAAAAATGTCGAATTTTTGTGAGAAACAAAATAAACCCTCATCTACCGAAATCAGTGTCATTATCGACTAAGGCCTACAATGTAAATTCAATCAATATAGACAAATTTGCCAGCTCACACCTTGGGATATTTGTGACGCTGTACGTATTGAACAGATTGCCCAGTGTAATAGAAGAAATACACGAAGGTTCCGTAGCCCCACACATGCTCGCAACACCCAATGCATTGCGGTTGTTTTTTTCACAGCGGTATCTTGTCCTCAGTTGCAGTGTACTTGGTTTGGATTAATTTCACAGCTGTGGTATCCCGGCGTTAATTTCTGATCATACTGGTTTACAAAACATACTCCGCGGATAATTCATATTTTTCTGTTGCTTATAGATGCAACAGGCATTGTTGATCCAGGCTGTCAGAATAAATCACTAATTTAAGGCACCGATAGTTGGCAACGTGCTCTGCTGGTACGCTAAAGTCACTCCAGCCAATACTCTTAAGTTTCCATTCACCAACTGGCTAAAGGTATTCAAACCCCAGGAACTGCACAAAAACGGCAGTTTCTCTCGATGTTTCGTAAAATGGTCACTGCATGAAAAATTCTCCGCGATTCATCTTTTACCTTGCCGGTTATTTAGTTCATTGAGGCATATTTAGGTCGCTAATGTAGTCAACAAGAAGAGATTTCCGACGATGAACATAGGCGTTTATTAAGCAATCTTCTGCAAGATAAATGCAGATACATTTCAATTTAATCAGAATAGCGCCCACAATAATTCTGTTCCTCATCCCGGTGCGCTTTAATTAGGCTGCCGCGTTGAATTCGCGCATGTTGAAGCATTTTTTAGAGATTCAATGCCTCAACGCTGACTTGCGAATCTAACAAAGGTGCTAATAATTTTACTCACTGAAACGGCCATGAATGCTATAGAAGATTTTGACACTAATTAGTTAGCACTGTTGAACGCTGCTCAAATTATGACCGGCTAATATGCTAGACTTTCCTTAACAGGGCACGTGGCGAATTGGGAACCATGCCATGCTGCGTACGCATTCACCACTCAGTCTGACTTGAACTCCGCCAACTTTAGAACACCATCGATACGAATTTGTCCCTTCAGTGAGACGGAGAATCTAATTCATGTTACAAAAGCCGAAGTCTAGATATTTATGGTACAAAGAAAGTTCGAAATGTTTCGCTAACCTTCCATGCTGAGAGAATGGAAGAAGGCACTTATTGTATACGAAGGGTACAAAATAAAAGGTTTTAAACCTTTTGTCCCATGTACACAGAGACAAAACAGCAAGGCAAGTGACAAAATTCCGTTGTAACATTCACTGTGACTAATATGATTTAGGGAGAGCTTTCTCACATGCTCTTGATGTTGCTGGTGTCACCGTTTTCGACCGTTTTCGAAAGCAGTTGCCATACAAGTGATAAATTTATTCGTCGGTCGCAACAAAACCGGACCTGTGGAAATGAATAAGGTGGATTCCAGCAAACCATATGACGGGTTGTTCTTGATCAAAATCAGATCAATCCGTTTTTGTTGAATGAAATACGGAGTAGTTTCAGTTAACTCGTGGATGAAACAAGACAACGGAAATAGAT